AATTTTGGTTTGACTGTATCTATTTGATAAATGAAGTCAACCAACTAACATTATACATACTCTTTTGGTTTCTGTACCCAATATTTAAAAAATGTACAAATGCAATAAAAATATTGGTATCGGTACTCAGTATCGGCAAGTACCAAAAATAAAAGTATCGGTATCGGGCGAGTATTGGAAAAAGTGGTATCGGTGCATCCCTTATATATATATTATAATACATATATTATATTATATAATAATAAACAAGGACGTGACGCGATCAAATAGAGGCGGGCACTAATGCAGCAAAAGTGTTTGCAGTGTGAAAGTATTTAAAACTCTCCGAGTAAGACGCAAAAATCATTTCAAGCGCAAATCGCCAACAGTGAGAGACTGCTTAGTGCTGCATCTCATGTCTCCGATGAGAAGAGGAAGGGGTGGTTGTTGCTAGTTACTGTATGATGATTGAAATTGCGAAATGGCCTTAAACAATTAGTAAATAAACTGCAGAATGATGTTTTCTACATGCACGGATTACATGTACTCAAACAGCGCTGCACGAGCTCGCGGCGCCAGGGTTCAAAGTCCAAAGCACGAGGAAGATATGCGCTGAAACACAATGTTACTCGTCAGTTGCTCAGTAACATTTTTATTAATTTTTTTAAGCCATGTGACAATGTGATACCTGTGACAATCATCTTCCCAAATTCTTAATGAGAATCATTTATAAATCTGTTGTCAACAAAAAGAAGCACTGAGATCTTCCTGCGGATTTCTGCCAAAATAAAAGCTGAGAAAAAGCAACAACTCCATCAACATTCATAAATGTTAGTATTGTAATTTTACTGTTGTTCTGTAGAATAAAATAAAAAAGGTATTCGGCCTTCGGCACAGTGTTTCATTTTGTTCGGCTTTGGCTTCGGGCAAGAATTTTCATTTCGGTGCAACCCTACTTTCATTCAAAATTTTGGGGTCAGTAGGATTTTTTCTCAAATAAATTAATACTAAATTAATGCTGAATTTTATTCAGCATGGATGCATTAATTTGATCAAAGGTGATTGTAAAAACATATGTGTTAAAATATTTCTATTTCAAATAAATGCTGTTCTTTTTAAATATATGAAGTGATCAAATAATTCTGAAAAAATGTCATGTCAAATGTAAAAAAAAAAAGTCTCAAATATCATGTCAAAGGTTTCTGATGGATCATGTAATGGCTACTAAAAATTAAGCTTTGCCATTGCAAGAATAAATTACTTTGAATATGAAACAGTTATTTTAATGCTGTTTCACAATATTACTGTTTTACTCTTTTTTTGACAAATAAATGCAGCCTTGGTTGAGCATATGAGACTTATTTCAAAATGTTAAAAAAGCTTACAGACTTAAAGTTTTGAACGTTAGCGAATATAGTTTTGGATTCATTCATTAATTCATTCATTTTACATTTTAATCAGTTGATGACTGAATAATGAAAGGAGTACAAGTGCAAACTGAAATTTGCAGGAGGAAATGAAGCTGCTATGTGCATCTGTTTTACTTTTATATGCTTGAATTATGAATTGTGGGCAATATAGTGTTTACTGGTTGTATACAAAAACTTAGAGTGCATTATGGTTATAAATAAGTGGACTGTATTATAAATTAATAGCTTTAAGCTTAAAGTACTCAAATGAGTGTCTTTGTCCCCAAAGGGAGAGCCTGGTTTTGGTCTACCTGGACCTCTAGGCCCTACAGGATTACCAGGCAGTATAGGGGCTCCCGGTTCTAAAGGTGATCCTGGTTTCCTTGGAAGCCCTGGTGCACCAGGTCGTTCAGGTCTTGACGGTGCTTCTGGATCTAAAGGTAGAGATTAAGTAGTAATGTTGGACTGTAAACAAATTAGATGCTTTTAAATTATTCTAACATGATTTTTTTTATTATTATTTGCAAATGATCTTTGCATTTTAATTTTGCACTTAGGTGATCCTGGTTTTCCTGGTGGTCCTGGTTCTCGTGGCCCCCCAGGGCCCCCTGCCTTTGGCCTTCAGGGCCCCCCTGGTCCTCCTGGAGCTCCTGGCTTTATGGGGTCTACTGGTATGTCTGCAATTTTTTTATTAAAAATGTGTCCAAATATAAATGGAGAAGCTCTTCCTGTGGACTATTCAAGCATTTAATGAACTGTGAGACCAGAACGAATCTTGAATTAGAGATATTCTTGTAAAAATATTCTTTCTTTGTCTAATAAAACATTATTTTGAGGATTATAAACCTTATGCATGTAAAACTTGCCAATAACTTCTTGGAAGTACAAAAAAATGTGCGTTCGATAAAGTGTATCTCGTAAGCTTTATCAAACACTGATGTTAGGACCACTGTTATGGTTCTTAGTAAAACAACTCTGTAGTGTTTTACTATATAAAACCATTGTCGTCTTCTCTTCATCAGGAGTTCCTGGTGCGAATGGAGAGAAAGGAGACCGTGGCCCCCCAGGTTCGAGTTTTCCAGGGTTGCAAGGTGACAGAGGAAGCCCTGGGCTTCCTGGGCCTCCTGGTTCTGCTGGTCCACCTGGGGGTCCAGGAATACCTGGTCAAGATGGCCTATCAGGACTGCCCGGTAATATGATGAGAGCAATATCCCCTGATGTTATCACATTTTACTGTATTTATTTAATATATACAATGTATGTCTTGTTTCTTTATGGTCTTTCTCTACTAATCCTATATCATTATTACAGGGCCTAAGGGAGGCATTGGTGGGATGGGTGCTCCAGGACCTGCAGGTGCCCCTGGCAACCCTGGCAGACAAGGCTTTTCAGGACCAAAAGGTCTGATACCATTTTTGGCTTTAGCTCAAATTTCTGAAACAATTTCATAAAGTCCCTTGTAGAGTGAAATATTATTGTGCTCTGTGCCCCGGCAGGAGATGACGGTGTCCCAGGACGACCAGGAAGCTCAGGTTTCCCAGGATCAAAGGGAGACAAAGGTGACCCAGGCATTCCAGGCCCAGCTGGCCTAGGCCCACCTACAAGTCTACTTAAGGGACAAAAAGGAGAACCCGGATCTCTAGGTGAGCTGCTACCTTCATGTAGAATTACTTAATTTCTGAACTTATATGTTTTGTTTCCTTTGTATGTATGGATTACTTGAGTTGTTACCAACATTTGGTGAAAATGTCATGTCAACAGCACCTTTAGAAATATATTCACTGGGAAAAATGGTGATGTGTTCCATACTTATTTTACCCACTGTATATATACATATATGTGTGTGTGTGTGTGTGTGTGTGTGTGTGTTAGGAGGTTCACAAATATGTTTTTATGTCACAAACGCAACTATGCCTGGCATTCATTTGTGAATTCACTGCACTCATGGATTTTAAAACATCTCTACCATCAAGACACACAAATCCACATTTCGCTGGCCAATCATAGCATGTTCTTGCTGCAACCAGTCACATTTTGCTTTACAGTCAAATCTAAACCCATATACTAGTGGTCACCAATATAGATTTTTTTGATTGTCCGATGGCCAATATAAAGTAAAAACATATGATACTGCACACTTTAAAGAAATAACCTAAAAACCTGCTATTAAATTTATATTTAACATAATTCTTTAGTCAAATAATTACAAATTATTTGAAAATGAGTACATTTTTGATATACTAAAATCTGTGAAATAAATATATGCTTTAGATAGCAACTAAATGGTATTATGGTATTTTCAAAAATAAATAAATAAACAATGTAACCAACAGTTTACTCAGTAATCCAAAAAGTCTGTGCACTGGGGGTTATATTTTCTCAAATAAAGACCATTTAATGCCCAAAAAAGTCCCATTTATAACAATTATTGACCGAACAGAAAAACGTATTAGCCAATGTCGATAATTAAAAAATGCCGTGTCAGCTGGTGTATCAGCCTTGGAGAAATGTTGGTCAACCACTCATAATTACCTTTTCTCATACCTTTTCTTTGTGATTGGTACATCAGTGGGACCATCTCTTATTTAAAGAAAACTGGGTCCCTCCTTGACATGTGTTTTTTCCAAATTCAGAATGAAAAGAATTGATCCTTTTAATCCCCTCATATATTTTGGTCACTCCACGATTCTCTTTATTTGTTTTGTAGGTTTTAGCGGACTACCAGGAGCAAAGGGTATTCCCGGTATCCTTGGAGATCCTGGTCTCCCTGGGCAAGATGGAAGGCCGGGTCTACCGGGACCTCCAGGTAAAGCAGACAAGTGCACATATTTGAGCCATAAAAAAGCACCTTCAATCAACTAGTGTACTGTATGTGCATATGTACTATTCAATGGGTTTTGGTTGACAAGTTTTATGGATTTTGTCTTGTCATGTCGTGTTTAGGCCTCAAAGGTGATCCTGGTATTCCAGGAACTCCAGGGTCTCCAGGAGCCCAAGGACTGAAGGGTAGCATGGGGGAGATGGGATTACCAGGTCAGCTCTTCAATCTCGTACAAATCAAAACAATTGACCGTTGTTTCTGAGGCTTTGAACTCTTAAAGCTAGACTGAGCCAATCTTTTTTGTTATAGGAGTTCCTGGAGTGAAAGGAAACTACGGCCAAACAGGCCAATCTGGCCAGTCTGGTTCCCCAGGAACACCAGGGTTCCCGGGACCCAAAGGTGATCCTGGCTCACCAGGATTTGGATTACCGGGAACTCCTGGGCCAAAGGTAAAAACATCATGTTTTCTGCTTAAACATTGAGAATATTTACTTTAATATTTAATCCTATTAAAATCCCAGGGTGAACCAGGCCCTCCAGGATTTCCTGGAACCCCTGGTCTGAAAGGCCAGCCTGGCCTTTCAGGATCTTCAGGCTTGCCTGGTAGCCCTGGACCAAAGGGTGATCCAGGACTCCCAGGATTCCAAGGTGCACCTGGCATTCCTGGCTTTAAAGGTTTGGATGGTGCTCCAGGCGCTTCTGGTCCTAGTGGAGCATCTGGTAGGCCAGGAGATCCTGGACGACCTGGATTAACTGGGCTCTCTGGTGATAAAGGTCTTGCTGGACGTGATGGTATTCCAGGACCTCCGGGACAAAAGGGTGAACCAGGTTAGTCTGAATCCAAAAGAAATCAAAAGTGCATTGGATGTGCTCAATGAAGTATATGTATCTAGAATCATTTGTTTTTAATTTTTTACCTAGGCACTCCAGGCCTTGGTGGCCCAGGCCCACCCGGTTTCCCCGGTTCACCAGGTAAAGTACTGAATTACATTTTCATGTATCTTCATTTTTACACCAGAGAACTTGTAACAAAGTCCTCATCATAATTTTCATAGCAAATTTACAATAATTGGCTGTTTTTATAGGGACTAAAGGAGACCCTGGTTTTCCGGGTCCTGCCGGTAGTCCTGGATTTCCTGGTCCAAAGGGTGATGTCGGATTTCCTGGGTTGCCTGGCCCAGTTGGTTCTGGAGGACCACCTGGGCCTCCAGGCCTGCCTGTGCAGGGACCTAAAGGTTTCCAAGGCCCACCTGGTGCCCCCGGAAGAGCTGGTAAGTTAAGCATCTTATCATTTTGGCCAGCTCTGCCCTCTGGGTTTCAAGCCGACATTTGCCTTTATTTTGGTTTAATTTTAATAAAGAGTAGCCTGGAGTAGAATGTCTAAAAAAGAACAAACTCTTAAAATAAAATAATTTTTTTATCCAAAATAAGTATCCAAAGAATTGTTTTAAGCAGAACTTCTAAATTGGCCAACGAAAGCACAATTTTGTAATCCCTTTGAAAACTGGCTTCACCACATACTTCTAATATTTAATACTGTGCTTTACCACAGTGTTTGTTGTTTTTCTTGTGCATGCCTACACCCAAAAGAAGCTAAACAAATTGTCTGGTGGTTCACACAACTTACACACTGTTTAGTTTAAAAAGGAATTGAATGTATTAACAACATTAATTTTTATCTGCTGTCAGCCCCAGTACTAAGTCATAAATCTGTTTTAGAAATTCAACAAAAAAGTCAGGTACAAGTACTCCTGTTTGGGAATCACTTCATCAGCACATGTAATATTATGATTGTGAACCAGAGGGCATACTGGCTTTGTTTTTGTTGGTTTGGCTGATTTGCATGGAATATTGCACAAGCAGTCATGATTATGCCATATCCATGTCCAATGAGCACAAATACACTCACTCTTTAGATGACAGAGCACAAGACACACTGTTTGCATTACCTTCACTGCAAGTGATCTTCTGTTCTCATCACTCCCTTCCTTTATTGTGTACCGGTTTGTCATGTGTTAGAGAGAAGTGAAGGATGTGCATGCATGAAGAGGTTTTGTGCAGTCATTGTTTCACAGTTGCCCAGTCAGGGCTTTATGAGTATTACACACAGCTTTCACTATCCAAGGTTAGCTGTTCACCCGTCCATTCATCTATCATCATTCACTCTTGTGCGTCTTCACTTCCACCCGTCCCTTTTTCTCAGCAGTAAAAGCTGCAGTTTTATCCACAGGACGCTGTCTATGTCTGTCTGTCACCAAATGAAACGAGGGTGCATCTGGCATGGGAAATGTGCTGATTTGTAAGAAATTAAAAGCCATTGCAAGACTATCTAAAATGGGCTCCACCTTGGAAAAAGAGCAAAAACATTAATGAATTCTGCTGCACTTCATATAAAATAGATATAAAGCTTTTGAATTTGATGAAGAAGGAGACCATTTTGGCTAGTGTCTGTTGGGCTTATTTTTACCCAGGCACGTTCTGGGTATCATATGCATTTTCTGTTTTACTTCACTTTTCGTGGGAATGGCTCTGCTCCTCCTGATGACATTGGATCTTTGCAGGCTCGGCAGGTCAGCTTCTTCATGTTATAGAGCTGATCTTTATGCTACAACGCGTAACTGTATTAAAATGAATTTTAATTTAATCTACCTATTAATGATTTGTGATTCATCCATATTATGTGTCTACACATGTAGCTCTACTTTGGTTGTACAAGTATATACAAAATAATATAAAAGGTAGCATTACCACATTGTAGGTGTGTAGTGTAAGTGTAGATAACCATATCCTGTTAGTATTAGAGTAGATTATCAGATTTTGCACATGCACAAGGATATTACTGTGTAGGAATTTGCCTATAGTATGATTATGAATGTCTCATGTAAATGTCTCAACCCAACTGCAACAACTCAATTAAGCCAGAATTCCAAGAGCAAGTATTTTTTTGAAGAGAATAGCAGAAAAGAATATGCATGTCTTGATTATATGGAATATCATGACTATACTATGTACAGCTATATTCAGTTATGTGTTGAACATGTGAACCTTTTTTTGCTAAGTTTGGCTTAACCAGAATAATGATGAGCATGTACACACTACCATTCAAAAGTTTGGTGTCTATAAGTCTTTTCCTCGCCAAAGCTATTTGAAAAACACAGCAGAACAGTAATATTGTGAATTAATCAATTTTGTGAAATGTCAAATTTCTGTTTTCTATTATTTAATTTTTTTTAATGTTATGTAATGTATGGTTATGTAAATGAAATGTCAAATATGCTAATCTGTTTCTTCAGTAATGCATTCTGTAAAACAATTTGGCAAAACGTGTCTATTCTTCAACACATCACATTACTTGTGTTGCTGTGCTCTGTATTTAAAACTTTTACCTTTTTCTTTTCTTCTCCTCTTATTGGACTTTTGGGAACCCGTTGACCTTTGACCCCTCTATAGGTCCTGCAGGTTAGACATCTTGGTTTGATACTCACCTGTGTCATGCTGTGCACTTCCATTTGTTATTAGATGATTTACCTCTGCATATGAGGTTGAGTGGGACTCATTCTTCATTTTTGATGTTTAACTTTCTTATCGCCATCCAGTTATATGAATATAGTTATGAGTGTTTAGTTGATCTCTCTTTGTGCCTTCTCCAAGAATATCCCAGAACCATTCAGCACACCACATACAACAATATACATGATAAACATGCACACAAATCTGGACATCAATGCTTGGTTAAATAATATTGACAATGATTTCATGTTGTAAGATGAATCCTGTTTGTTAATCAGGTACCATTGAAACAGGTAGAAACTGATTTCTTTTCTGTGAATGTGAAGGTTCTCCTGGCCCTGAGGGTACCCGTGGACCTCCAGGTAGTGGAGGAGTAAAAGGTGAGAAGGGCATGCCTGGACTCCCTGGGATACCTGGTGCGCCAGGACTGAAAGGAGATTACGGTCCCCCTGGCTTTTCGGTAAGCACTATAGATGTGGTTTAAAAGGAAAGTTTAGTTATTGTTAGCAAAGGCTTTCGTACAGTTTGCATTTGTAGAATCATTGTAGGCTGCATTTGGTTTATGTGGGTTTTCTGACACTTTGCTGAAAAGAGGGCAATATTTTGTTTTGGTAATGGCTCTCTGGAATACATGATTCTGACTGGTCAATTCTAACATACTCTGGTCAGATATTTCTTGATAATGACCGCTAAATGATATGATTGGCAACCAATTTCCTTCATAGTTGTTGTAGTATGTCTTTGTTATCTCTGCTGTCTCACGTGATAAAATTATTTCAAATAATATAAAGAGTTGTTCATTTATTTATACATTTCCATTTTATAATATTAATTTAATCGGATAATGATGTTTGTTATTTGTTTATTAAAAGGGTACTCCAGGAAATCCAGGACCTAGCGGCCTGAAAGGAGATACTGGACCTCAAGGTGTTCCTGGATTCCCAGGTCGGTTTTCCTTCTACAACCATTAAGGATTTGTTTACAAAAATAATACATGTCTGTAATCATTTATACACCCTAATGTTGTTGAGTCCCATTTGCTGTTATTTATTTCATGGAACACAAAAGGATAATTTTTTAATATTCTAAAAATGGCATATGAAGCACAGTGACAGATTAGTTTCAAAATTACATTCAGAAATGTTTACTGTTTTTGCTATATTTTTTAATCAAATAAATTGATCATATGTATTTCTTCATAATTCTTCGTTTGTGTTCCACACAAAAACATAACAGCGTACATGTCTGGGCATAGCCGCGGGAACATATTTTGAGCAGGGGGGGTTGTTTGGTCACGTGACGAGAGTGATGCGAGACACTATGATCCAAACGCTCAACTTTTGTTAATAAATGTTTAATTTCTTCGTTTAATATAAGCGAGTTTGTCTTTATTGTTGCTGTTTTCATTAAAAATAAATAAATAAAACAATGAACCACAAACTAAGCATTTGTTTTAAAAGAGGGGAAAGACCTTATTTATTTGGGTTACAACGCAAGTAGACTATATCCGTCTTATTCATTTTGTTAATAAAAGTTAGATGTTTAATATAGGCCTATGCGAATTTGCCATTGTACTATTTTATGGCTGATGTGTTTTAATTAATAGGCTAATAATGAACCACAAACTACGATCGTTTTTTAAAAAAAGGGGAAATCCAAAGACCGTTTATTTGTTACAATGCAGGTGAAACATATTTTCCTTATTCATATTGTTAATAAAAGTTCAAAGTTTAATATAAGTAAATTTGTCATCGTACTGTTTTATTGTATAGCCTTTTGTATTATTATTAATAATAATAATAATGAGCCACAACCTAACCATTCGTTTGAAGTAAGGGAAAAACCAAAAACGCGGGTATGTCTTATTCGTTCTGTTGATAAAAGTTTTATGTTTAATATAAGCTACTGTCATTGTATTATTGCTGATGTTGTGTGTGGGATTTTGTTTTCATTAAGAGTAATACTGAATCAACCTTAAGCATTAATTTTGTTCCAAGAATATGAAAGATCTAATGTTAAATATCAAAATAAGCGCTGTAGAAGCGAGAATGTGAGATTGTTATTATTATTGGTTGCTGCTGAGGTAATAGACGCTCTCGTTTGTATCTTCGCAATGGCTGTAAAAATGGTCGTTAATTCTTGATTTGGGTCCGGCACAGACATGTCACAGATAATTCATGTACAGGTAATTCATGTTTTACTGTTGCTTATTGTCACTGTAGGCTTAGGCTATTTTTTTCCATGAATTTTAATGAATATACAAATGAATAAAAAAAAAATTATTTATTTTTTGTTACAACATTTTCATTTATTTATTTTTAACACCGCACCCCCAGCCCCCCCCCATTTTTTCTTGGGCTACACGCCAGGGGGTGCTACAGCACCCTCAGCACCACTATTTCCCGCAGTAATGTGTCTTGGACAACATCAAAGTGAATCTGTAATAAAATGCATAAAGGTTGATGTTGGTTGTGAAGCTATATTTATGAATGAGTCTTATCCACGTAACCTCTGCATATTATAGGACCTAAAGGACAGCCTGGCCTTCCTGGATCTAATGGCAACCCAGGAGAACGTGGTGGCACTGGAACACCAGGTGAGTTTTGTTTTATTTATTTTTTGTTGCAACATTTTAATTTATTTATTTTTAACACCGCACCCCCAGCCCCCCCATTTTTTCTTGGGCTACACGCCAGGGGGTGCTACAGCACCCTCAGCACCACTATTTCCCGCAGTAATGTGTCTTGGACAACATCAAAGTGAATCTGTAATAAAATGCATAAAGGTTGATGTTGGTTGTGAAGCTATATTTATGAATGAGTCTTATCCACGTAACCTCTGCATATTATAGGACCTAAAGGACAGCCTGGCCTTCCTGGATCTAATGGCAACCCAGGAGAACGTGGTGGCACTGGAACACCAGGTGAGTCATTTTAAAACCTGGATATTTTTCCCCTTACAATTCCAATGAAAATGCATCCTCTACTACTCCTCTCCCCTCTGTTGACCACAGGTTCTCCTGGTGAGCCAGGCTTTGCTCCAAACCCGATTCTTTTGAAGGGGGAGCGTGGTCAATCTGGACCACCTGGTATCCCAGGCAGCAGAGGCCCAACAGGTCCCTTGGGATTGCAGGGTCTTCCAGGTTAGTGGATATATTTAGATTGTACACAGTACAGTTAAAAAAAATATTATAGCTGATACCTGATCTGGGCTGCGTTTCTCAAAAGCATTGTGAGCTAAGCTGATCGTAGAGACCATTGGTGCCATTGGTTATATGATCTACTTAGGTTTACGATGCTTTTGGGAAAAGCAGCCCTGGTCTTTTTCCTCGTCATGTCTGATTTCATTTCTACCTTTAGGTTCGCCCGGTGACCCCGGAGACCCAGGTCCAATGGGACCTCCAGGATTTACCGGCTCACCAGGAAGGAAGGGAGATACAGGACCAGCTGGACAACCAGGTAATGTTAAGGTCCAAGACGTGGCTTGGTGGGTAGACATGTTGCACAGGGCTTATCCCAATTCAAATCCAGCTTGGGTCATTTTCCAGTACTTGGTGCATCTCCACTGTCTTGTCCAATAAAGGCCAAAAGGCCTTTAAAGATTCAAGATTTTAAAAAATTTAAAAAGGTTATTCACCTAAAAATGAAAATTCTGTCATCATTTACTCACCCTCATGTCTTATCAAACCCCTAAGACTATACAGATTTAATTTAGGCTATTAATTTAATTTAGGCTATTTACTCATGGTTCTCGTGCATCACACACATGCTCAAGCTTCCATGTTTACCATATTTGATGTGCTCTATGTATGCGTGTTGATCATTGTTTTGATGTAAATAAAAGCCTAAATTAAAGGGGTCATGAACTGCCTTTTTATTATTTTGTACTGTTCTCCGAGGTCCCCTTATAATGGTATCAAGATTTTTACATCAAAAAACATAATTTAGAAATAATAAGATATTTTCTGTCCTGTTTTGACTCCCCTCATCAGACCGCTCTGTTTGAATAGGCGTGATGGATTGTAGACTCGGAAGTAAACGCCCACTGCTATGATTGGCTAACACTTACGTATGTTTGACAGCCTACGTCCTTCATAGATGGACGCTGCTGTGATTTAGGTAAAAAAATAAATACTAAGTACATATCAAACGATCTGTAACAACAGACAAAGCAATAGTGACAAGGTAATAAAAACAGTTATGCACACTTGTGTGGTGCGACATTACTGTTGGATCCAATATTGACTATATTGCCTTATAGTCATTATATTATAATGCACAGCATTGTCTTTTAGTTTCAATCATTCTGAAAATCCTGCATGGAATTGTGCCTTGTTTGTAAACGAATCCATGGTAAAAAGAAGTGAACAAAGGACCAATTCCTTACTGGCGTGGTTTGGAACTTCATTAAAGATAAAGTTCATCCACTCTTTCCTTATGTTGGGATCAGAAGGAAGGCAATGCAAAGACTCTTTTACCACAACTTAGCACTGCACAGTGTCTTGCTGTATTCACAGCCATCATTATCATTTTGTTTCTGCATAGACCTGCATTCGCCTCTCGTTATTTACACTACATGCATGAAGCGGTGGGCGTGGCTAATCAGGCAGCGATGTAGAAGCAGGCGTTGATCTTCTTCTGCAGAGGCAGTGTTTAGCCACACTATTACATCATAGAGTGGCACATTACAAAAGCTGTCGTTCTGGCAGTCTGGCTTCAATATAAGCTGATTTTAGATTAATGAGTATGTTTTGAGTTCTGAAACATACAGGATGTTTTATAGCACAATGACCGCTTATATGTCAAAAGATCAAGGGAATTTTGGTCTCTCAGTTCATGACCCCTTTAAATCTGTTCATGTAAAGTGATTATATCTCTTCAAAAGACTTGGATTAAACTGCTTGATTCATATGGATTAATTTCCCATTTATGATATGAAGGTGTGTAACAATACCTGACATTGTTGCTGATATGAAGGTGAGCAAATGATGACAGAATATTCATTTTTGAGTGGACTATCCCTTTAAGGATCATCCTTAAAATTGGTGGCTCTGTTATTCTTTTTTCAGATTTTTGGAAACAGCAGGAACAGGAAGCTTATAAGCAGTGCCTGAACCTTCTCCACTTCCATGTATAATCCTCACAATAACCATAACTTAATTATTTACAGGTTCGCGTGGTTACCCCGGCCCTCCTGGTCCAGAAGGGATTCAGGGCCCTCCAGGTATCGCAGGATCCTCGTCTGCCGCACACGGTTTTCTGATCACGCGCCACAGTCAGACCACAGAGGTGCCATCGTGTCCTGGAGATACAAGACTCATCTATGACGGCTACTCTTTACTCTATGTGCAAGGCAACGAGAGGGCGCACGGACAGGACCTGGGTGAGTGTCCCCCAAAACACATAGAGCACACGCATGTAGTATTTTCTTTCTCACATCACATGTATCATGACTAATATGTTTTTTTCTTCATTCAAATTAACATCAGGTACGGCTGGTAGTTGTCTACGTCGTTTCAGCACTATGCCTTTCATGTTCTGCGACATTAACAATGTCTGCAACTTTGCTTCCCGCAATGACTACTCCTATTGGCTGTCCACACCACAGCCCATGCCCATGAACATGGCGCCTATCACTGGAGAGAGCATCAAACCTTTCATCAGTCGGTAAGAGAAGGTCACTCTGACACAGATGATGAGTAGGAGTGGAATCTGTGGTTTGGCAAATTTACCTGAATCTATTGAATTATCTGAATAATTTTGTGTGTGTGTGTGCAGGTGCTCTGTGTGCGAAACTCCAGCCATGGTGATTGCTATACACAGCCAGACCATTCAGGTGCCATCCTGCCCGGACTACTGGGCCGTGCTCTGGATCGGTTACTCCTTCATGATGGTATGCACCATATGCACTCTTGGGGGAATTTATTTAGAAAGAATTGAATATTAGTAATATTAGTAAACATTAATCTGCCAAATCAAAGTCTAACCTACATATAAGAAGACATTTTATCACGTGACAAGAGAGCCATAAAACTGTTGACCCAGTTAGAACTGAAGTTCTCAACCTTTTTGACTCCAAGGCCGAAGGCCCCCCATTGTCACAACAATATTTGAAGGCCCCATTGTAGGCTTTCTCTGGTACTTTCTACTGTAATGATGTGACAAAGCATTCTTCTTGCAACAAAGTGTGCAAACATTAAAATAAGTAAATAAGATAATTAAGTTCTACGTGCTGAATCTTATTTTTATCAATTTTTTTTATTTATGATTTTCCAATCATTCCTAATTTACTGGATAAGGATTAAAGATAAGAATTTTTAAAACATAGTTTTACTTAAAACATTTTATTTAACTAAAACTTATAAATCGCCTATGGTGTAATACGATTTTATTAATTTACATGATTTTTACAAGTCTGAAAGTCAAACTTTTAGAATGAGGTTACGTCTTGTATCCAGGTTTTTAAGACTGTGGGAATCCTGGTTATTTAAAGCTGCAGTCCGTAACTTATTTTTTTGGTTCAAAATGATCCGAATCAATATTTGAGCAAGTACATAACCAGCCAGTGTTCAAAACTATCACCTTACCTACTTTATTACATTATAATAATGTTTTCTAATTTGAGTACTGGTAGGAATTCGTGGGAAATTACGTCACGCCTGTAAACATAATGAAGTTGTCCCAGCTAGTATACTATATCACACGTGAGGATCCTGCAGATGGAGGATCGTTTATAGTCTTTTCTCACAGCAGCTGGAATAATTAAAGTTATCATTTTGATGGCGAATTGTAATCCAGAAAGGATTATGTGTTTATTAAACACATGTGACTGAAATTAAATTATACTCCAGTTTTAAATGTGCATCTGATTAATGTTACAGATAGGATTACACAAGATTTGTATTTTAAAGAGAACCAGTTCGAAGGAAGAATAATTTGCTTTTTGGGTTAATGGAATTTCTTAATATGAAATTCGAATGGAATGACAATTAGAGATTAGACTAAAAGATTAGAGATTAAATTTAAATCTACACGCTAATACACTATGTACACATAGTCACGCAATACTGATGTTGTTAACAAGTATAACAAAAATAATAATTTGCATGGTTTGATGTGATATGAGCTAATTTAGATTAAATCACCATTGGTAGCGCGATTTATTGTAATGCTTTTTTTTCTCAGTTGGTCAGAACAAACGTGGCAGACTTGTTACTTACTTGTTCAGATGACAATATCCGGTGAAAATTAGGACATAGGCTAGAATCTGTGATTCCTAAGTACAGTATCCACACCGGTGCGGTGACTGACTGCCACACACACATACTTCTCAAAACATTAGATTATTCCACGCTGGAGCCACACCCACTCACAACCCACACAAGGAAGATAATTCCGCTAATAACTGCAATTGCTTTAAAACAGAGATGGCGACAAAGAGGCAAAACATACGGACTGCAGCTTTAAAGGAAAAAAAGTTGTTGGGGGCGGTGAATAAATATAAGAAATATCTTGATTTTGAGTTGTTTTGGCTTATTTTAAACATTGTTTCATTATTGTTATTTGATGTCATATTAGGCCCTCTAGTGAGTCCCGGCTTCCTGATTCAGAAACACTGCATTAAGACCATTGTGATAAAATAAATGTACTTCTTGAGATTCATAAAGAACAACAACAACAAAACATTTTGAAAACAATGAAGTAACAGCAATATTTTTTGGTTTTAAGGTGTCTTTGTTACACATTACATGTACTTACTATTATAATAACAATAAATTATTCATAATTACATGCAAGTAACCCTAATCCTAACCATATAGTAAGTACATTTAGTTAATTAATATTACTCAGTACTTAAATGTATAATTACACTGCAACAAGGACACCTTAACTTAAAGTGTAACCAAATTTTTATACTGGTTTACATCACATTTTTAAACTCTTCAAGTCCAAGTTGAAATGTTGTTCAAATAAAAACAGCATGAATATAAAAGTTGCGTTTTTAAAAACTGGCATATTTTTTAAAAGATCAACTACATCCTTGTTGGTTTTTGCCTCACATTCATTACTCATCTTGCTCTGTGTAACAGCACACCAGTGCAGGTGCTGAGGGCTCAGGTCAGGCTCTTGCCTCTCCCGGTTCCTGTCTGGAGGAGTTCCGCTCGTCTCCGTTCATCGAGTGCCACAGTCGAGGCACCTGCAATTATTACAGCAACTCGTACAGCTTCTGGCTGGCCACTGTGGATGTGAATGAAATGTTCAGGTAATATTTCATTCCAAACTATGACAGCTTCAAAAACAACAATTCTTCTTGGCAGCTTTCTTGAAAACTGCAAATGTCACACTGTTTTAAAATCAATAAGATGTCTATCATCAGAGTCTTTTTATTCTCTCTGCCCAAACAGAAAGCCGCAGTCAGAGACACTGAAAGCTGGAAACTTGCAGACCCGTGTGAGCCGCTGTATTGTGTGTATGAAGAGGACGTAACGTAGTGACATTTTTGCAGTCTGTTGTTATTGTTGAGGATCAGCCATCACTTACAACGACTGCGGCCATCATGCTGATTTCCAGTGAAGTTTCATTGGTGCAGTATCTTCACATTTAACTCTATGGTGCTACTGTGTGACACAGCAAAAGAAACTGAACAAAATCAATGAATTTATTAGTCTTTTTTATTTTAAAGAAGTACCTCAAAAGAAAAATGCAGATCCAGCAAGGTGCCATGGCAGTTGTGACAACAATGTGCATTAGAATTATTTTTTTTTCTCTAGAGATTCTTTTCATGTAATATTTTCCTACAAGAATTTTGATGTTGGTACACAAATGGTACATTTTTGGGGAGAAGCACTCTCTCGCTTTTTTCTAGTTTCTTTTCGAGTGGAATTGTCTCCATGTTACCAAATCGGCACTTTAATGGGACTGCTTTTTTAAGGCTATAATTTTTCCCCAATCACTTTTTCTTCTTTATTGGTGGTACTAACACTGCTGTATCAGGACTTTTTTAGCAATGTGTCATTTGTCTCTTTTTGTAAGTAATAAAATATGTATATTGTGTAAAACACCTTTTTAGCGTAAAAACTAAACGGTTCTTTGTTAGTATGCTCACCACTCACTCCTTTATTCACATATTAGTTCCACATTATTTTACACTGACATTTGTACAAACAGTATTTTATAAATATATATATTAAAAAGAAAGTATATATCCAGAAACTTGATTTGGCTGTAGGAGGGTATTTTTTCATTCAGTAGTTCTTCTTCATAGCACATATGCGTAAATTGAATTGTTTTTACAGACCTCTCCTCTCTTCAGATTTCATTTAACCAGCAAGCACATTTCTGTGAAAATCAATCAAATACTAGTGTTATGAATTTGTAAACTTTTCAGTAGTTCTTATGTGTTATATTATGCCACAGTGTGGCCTGTCACTGCTTCAGATTAGATGAACCACTGTCTGTCAGCAAATGTGAACATAGACTACACTGTGGCATATTATATTAGTTACATAATATATACATAGTTTTGTGTATGCATTGTGTATCCAGAAAGTGTTATCAACTTAAATGACTGAAATAAAATAAACAAACTTTGTCTGTGAATGGTGAACTTTTTTTAGAGTGGGATTCTGGATGTTTTGTTCTGGTTAGTTGCGACAGTATTAGTGTGGTACATTACAACAGTGTTAAGAGCTGCACCAAACAGCTGTCTTTATCCTGTCAGACATCTATGCCAGTATATAGATATGGAGTTCAGCAAAACTTTGCAGATTTACAGCCACTGTTTTGTTGTGTAGTAATACATGATGATTCAATCACAACATGATGGTAAGTGGATGTAAAATCCATTCAAATAAATCTGGTTTGTGTTGTATTTTTCCTGTTAGTGTATCACTCTCCTTCCCTCCTTCCTGCTCTTTCTGATTCTAACAATGTGCTTGTTATCCTGTGATATATTGGTTAATGACTAAGCTTTGAGCTTAGGAGAGGTTATTAGGACCTAAATAGTCCATATAAGATCCAGTTGACAAACTGAGTGTTGATATTTGGCAAGAGCTAAGCTCTCAATAGGATCAGTGAGCAGATGACAGTGACCCCATTGCCACTGGGATAATGGTATTTGTTCCAGCCAACAACAAGGCCAAGGGGCAACGACCAAGCTCTTTACAAAAATTACTTAAGTGGTCTTATTCCTAGATGGAACCAAAACAAGGGTCAACACTGGTTCTGAATGAATAAAGCTTGATCCGAAAGTTCATTGTTCACTACTTGTGCAACTGAATCGTTCAGTCAGGCTCTGAATGAGTCAGGCTATTATGAAAAGATTGTTTTCTTTGTTTTTAACATTCATGGACGATAATAGACAGATGGCAACTTTTATAGACATATACTAATGGTTAACTGTCATAAATATGTATCCAAAATATATAGTAGGCATAAACAACCTGCATATTCATACCTTAAATTAAGCCATTCTAGTTGATGATAACCATACAATCTGATTTTGGATTAACTTTGATTTTGGATTAAGTTTGCATCTATGGAATGGTTCAAGGAATGAGACACATCAAATCTGTATTTCCAGGTAGTTTGCCCCTTAGGGGTATATCGGATGACATGCATGATTTAGGGAATAACCTTTTGCTTAATGAGCTTTAAAAAGGAATCGCTGCTTATGTCTGTTTTGAAACATGAGCACCTTGTGGCAAGTACTACATCTCCTGAGAGCTGGAATTTGGCGTAAACGTTCACATGTTGCCCCTGAGCTCATGATCCACATGCAACCTAAGCCCTAATCGCACATTCATTTGTGCACATACTGTACAAGCTACTGAAATCAAATGAGCTGCAGGGAGAAACCTCAGCTCCTAATGACGCAGAAACGTCTATCAGAGGAGGATTCATCCTAACTCATCAAAATTGATTCTAAGTGTGCCATTTGCATTTGGAAGCTGTTGCTGTGAACCCACATCGTGTGGTCAAAGGAACTCTCCATACCAGTGAAACAGATAACTGTTAGGCTTCAAAATCAAAACAAATCTATCAGAGAGATAGCAGGAACATTCAGAGTGACCAAATCAACAGTTTGGTACATTCTGAGAAAAAAAGAAAGCATTAGTGAGCAATTTGTACAGTGTCCCAACTTTTTTGGAATTGGGTTTGTATATATACACCTAACTGTGTGTGTGTGTGTGTGTGTGTGTATATAATAGGAATTAACTTTCTATTTTCCTATTACCATTTGAAGAAATTGCCATTCAAGCTGAATTTAAAATTATGTTACAGCATCTTGATTAAGTAGCCTATCAACTAAGAATTGACATCAAATTGATATCAAAGTATCCGCTGGGTTACAGTATCAGTTGAGTCACTTCATTGCCATTCACAACCCTTCTCCAGTAGCCTCACGAATGCACTATTCAGAATCATGGCAGAAATACTAGGTCAACTGGGTGCTTTTGCCTTCTGTTTTATGAATAGTCAACTCTGACATATTACTCACATACTATATCGTTATATTCGGATGCAATCATGGTGGTTTGCTCCTCAATGAGTCAGTGTTTTTGAACTAATTGATTGAGTCCATGATTCAATGACTCCCAATCACTTCTCGTCACCTGGATCTGCAGTCTGCCTGGACACTAAAACGGAAATTAAACATTTCCTTTTCTTTGTATTCAGTTAGCCTTCAGCAAAGGATCTTACATGATGACATTAGGTTCAACTGTGATATTTGGACCTGACATTTCACATCAAATGATACCAATGTGTGCTGCTGCCAGTGAAGGTGCAAGGTATCAGACACAGCATATAGGGGATTGATTCTGTACATTAGCGAGCAGTGCCAAAACTACTTATATTTAAATACTGAAAATCAAATTAAGTGCATCATTATAGAGGAACAACAACAGTTCAGTACATGGTCACTGTGTGTAGAAGGATGGTATCACTCCCTAGATACATGCGAGTAGATCTCTGTAGTGGTTTGAGGCCCCTAAGGAGATAATAGTTTCCTGGTTTAAGTGTCTTACTACATGCTCATGGGCAAATAAGCTCTGAGATTCTGCGAAAGAAGTCGACCCCCTTGAAAAGTTAACTTGCAATGGTCAGTTATCCGCTTTGATTTCCCCAAGCTACTTACTGACATGAGCGTGCTGGGGGAGGGTGGGGGGTTAGGGGTGTTATGGTGTGCACCCAGTGACGCATACATGTTTGTGCTTGTCATTTTTTTTAATCAGATGTAGACTGAAGTCCATGAAGGTGAAAAACTTGCAAATCTTTGTGCAACAGTTACCGTTTTCACAATGGACTTTTGTCTTTTAATAGACAGTAGTATTGCCCTTCAGTTTATTTGTCAGTTTTTATGTCTGATCAGTCCCTATAACTGAACGGGTTTGGTTTTTAATATACATGTGCTCTGGTTTCTCTGCATTTAAATGTCATTTGGCCTGCTGGAAATATTACAGTATCGAATGTTGTGATTCAGAGGAAATTACACAGAAGTCTGTTGAACAGACTTGGCAATGGCAAGAAAACGCATGAACTCTTTGGTGTTTATTGTATATGCCATGCAATTCAACATGTTCTTCCATTATTTCATATCAGTGTTTGTGGTCTCTATCAGGGCTTCTCAACCAGGGGTCCAGAAACCACTGGAGGGCCTCAGCAAGCTTCCAAGGGGGCCACAGGATGGCTATATATCTATACACTACCAGTCAACTGTTTTTTTTTACTGTTTTAAAGAATTCTCTTCTGCTCACCAAGCCTGCATTTATTTGCTCCAAACAGCAAAAGCAGTAATATTGTGAAATATTTTTACAATTTAAAATAACTGCTTTCTATTTGAATACATTTTAAAATGTAATTTATTCCTGTAATCAAAGCAAAATTTTCAGCATATGCAATAGCAGAGGAATATAGGGGAGCCTTCAAATATTGTGTTGGACAAGAGAGGGCCTTTGAATTTTATATTATTGTGTCATGTCATAGTAAATCATTACAAACAATGGCAACGTCTCTACTAGTAATCGTGCCAAATATGTCCATGTCATGTTTACACTGAAGCTGTAGTGAGAAAGAAGGGTCACTGGATGTTACTGCCCTGAATCTGTTTTCTGAAGCAAACATCAAAGTTCAACAACGGTGGACATACAAAGCAAGACATTAGACTGCTCTTATTCATTCACAGATATATAACGAAAACAAATGACAATGAAACATGTTACAGGAACTTTTTTTTATTGCAATAGCTCTATTGAAAGCAAAAAAAGAAAAGAAAAGATAAATACAAACACTAAGATTGTATATGCCATGCAATTCAACATGTTCTTCCATTATTTCATATCAGTGTTTGTGGTCTCTATCAGGGCTTCTCAACCAGGGGTTCAGAAACCACTGGAGGGCCTCAGCAAGCTTCCAAGGGGGCCACAGGATGGCTATATATCTATACACTACCAGTCAACTGTTTTTTTGTTTTTTTTTACTGTTTTAAAGAATTCTCTTCTGCTCACCAAGCCTGCATTTATTTGCTCCAAACAGCAAAAGCAGTAATATTGTGAAATATTTTTACAATTTAAAATAACTGCTTTCTATTTGAATACATTTTAAAATGTAATTTATTCCTGTAATCAAAGCAAAATTTTCAGCATATGCAATAGCAGAGGAATATAGGGGAGCCTTCAAATATTGTGTTGGACAAGAGAGGGCCTTTGAATTTTATATTATTGTGTCATGTCATAGTAAATCATTACAAACAATGGCAACGTCTCTACTAGTAATCGTGCCAAATATGTCCATGTCATGTTTACACTGAAGCTGTAGTGAGAAAGAAGGGTCACTGGATGTTACTGCCCTGAATCTGTTTTCTGAAGCAAACATCAAAGTTCAACAACGGTGGACATACAAAGCAAGACATTAGACTGCTCTTATTCATTCACAGATATATAACGAAAACAAATGACAATGAAACATGTTACAGGAACTTTTTTTTATTGCAATAGCTCTATTGAAAGCAAAAAAAGAAAAGAAAAGATAAATACAAACACTAAGCAATGCTCAAATGATTTGCCTGCCATCACTCACTTTTTCCCACCAGAGAAAAAAGGAAATGTCAATCAACTGCAGGAAAAAAATAAATCAAAGCATCAGTATGTACACAACCATAAATGTTTTTCCTGTTAATATTTCCTCTTAGACGTCATCTGAAGAACTGACCTCCACACCTGAACTTTGCTTTATGTCAAGCTCAGACTTCAAAAACAATAGCGAACAGAACACAAGTGCACCAAAACATACAGAGGTGTGACAAAAACTGGCAAGAGGATGCACAAACTTTTGATTCTGAAATGGTGCCGAATAAAAGAATTGCATTTAAAAAAAAACATTCCAAAAGAACAAATCATCTGAGCTATTAAAAAAGGGGTAATAAAAACATTAATGCTGTACCACTGCAAATCTGTACTCTATGTAATCACTTGAATCAAGTTCGATTCAATAAAAATCATGGCTAAAAGCAGTCAGCTTGATCAAATTCATTAGCAAAAAGCTGATATTAAATGCATGTATGTGGAGTTCAACAATTTGGCTGATTTAAAGCTTTTATGTATGACAGAATTTGTTTGTGTAATTCTTAAAGGTCAGTCTCACAGCTACAAATACTATGTTAACATTAGCCAAAAAAATATTCTGTACCTTTCTTTTTTTTATATCACATTGAGGCAATCTGGGTCTTAGATAGTTTTGGACATTGGGTAAAACCTTTTCACAAAACCACAGCTGGGCTGTAATGGCCAATCTGTGCTAGTTAAGACTTGCTTTGGTAATTCCACGAGGAATGGATCCTTTTACCAGACAACAAAGTTCACTTTCGTACCATTGACAGCATAACAATGAAGACTGTACAATACAGTATTTTTGAATTTTTTTTCCTGTCGCAACGTTTTACATTTGATTTTGTCTGTTAAAACAATATGCAGTAAAAGGGAAATATAAAAATAAAACAAAAATTAAGGCTGTTTATGTAACCAAGACAAATTAACCTGAAGCTGCATACCGAGTTGTGTGCATATTACTCTTTTGGAAAAAAAAATAAATAAAAAAAAAAATACTACAGAACAAATGCAGAAAACAGTTATGGACCATGGACCTCCACTTCCTGAAAAAAACGCAATACTGAGAGACGAGAGTCATGGAACAAAAGAGCAGCTGATTGGTAATACTAAAATATTAAATAGAATTAATTATAAATAAAATATTAATGAAATGTTGTGACTTATGTTGTCGATTGAAGGATACCCTTCTAACAGCATGCATAATGATGTATACAGACAGAACTGGGCTTTTGTACCTTCGTATTGTGCTGTTTGTTCCCACTAAGTTGCAGAAGGGCCCCTGCACTTAGAATTTATTTATTGTGGGTACCAAAACGTAACCGGAGAACTAATTTAGATTTATTTAGATGATATAAATCACCAACTCTGTGCTCATCCTAGTGGCATTTTAGCAACTGCAGCAGATTTCATCTGGGGAGTCCCAGAATAGACCCTTCCTCTTTTCCTGCGCCCCCACTCCTTCCACCCTCTCTCTCTACAGCTCTCTTGGCAAAGCGAAGGAGATGCTGGTCAAAAATTAGTACGGGAAGAGATACGAAAAGCCTATGTTTGGGCTGTGCCACATGCCGAGAAGGCACCGCGAGAAACACCTGGGGTCCTGCTGGGGTAAAGCAGACTGAAAAACCATGACTAGCCTGACACTCACAGATACTGTAGAACAGTGTTGATAGTACAAAGGAGGAGGTTTCTACGGTCCAAAATTGAAGATGTGCGTGGAACATTAAGTGAGGACCTAACAGAGACAGACATTCGTAAAAAAGACACTACTGCTGTACAGTCATATCCCATCGGCAGTCTACACCGTACCAATATATGCTCTCTCTGTTAAGCAAACGGTAAACATAAACACTAAAATCTGTAATTGCACCTGAACTCTTTCTGGGAAATAAATACAATTTGTACATACGTCTGATGCTTGTAAACAGCATGCACCTGCCCCAACAAGACTTTTGGATTATGGTGTCTTCATATGATGAACCTCCCTTTTTTTGCAGCGAATAAAATCACAATAAAGCACTGAACTCATACAAGACAGAACGCATTGATTCGCTCTGGAGACAGCACATGAACAAATAAAAACAAGCATAGAACTCCATTAAAACAAAAAGGATCCTTTTGTTGTGCCACAGGGTTGTGTGCTAGGGCTCTCATGGTTTCCGGCATCTCTGCAAGAGCTTCATGGGACAGTCTTTAGTCTGTAATGAGAAAAAGAGAGAGGCAGGATTAACCCATGAACCTATTGAAGGTAAGATACCATCACTCCCATTAAATTCATCTTACCACTCAGTGTTTAATGATGGTGCCATTTATAGAAGATATAAATGTTAGCTCACCCAAAAATTGTGAAAATCACTTCATGTCATTCTATCCAACCCCATAAGACATATACTCATTTCGAAAACACAATAAAAAATATTAACGAAACCTGAGAGATTTGATTGAAAGTCCATTTCAGCAACGAGGTTTATTCTTGCACAATAAAGTAGTATGTTTTGAGTTCCCATTTACCATATTTGATGTGCTCTATGTTTGTGCACTGATCAATGTTTATATGTGAATACAAGCCTATATGGATTTCTTTCACGAAATTCTGGTATAACGGACTTCGAATGGAAGGGCAGAAAATGTGTAGATTTCATTAAAAATATCTTCCTTTAGTGTTCAAAGATGGAATAAAGTATTATAAGTTTGTTTGCGAGTAAATTATGACAGAACGCAGAGTGTTTTTCTTAAACAAAATTCTGTTTAAAAGGAATCTGGCAGGACCATCCAATCATGATGATACATGACTATCTTGAATTTCCTCGACCCAGTCTTACCTTGTCCTACCTGTCCCGTCTAAGGATAACATCACATGCCCTTCACCTGCCATTACCCCCTCTATGCCTTTAAAGCTCTGCCGGGCAGTGGGTTTGTACGGTGGCCTGCTTTGACCCTGGTGCACAGAAGCAGTGCCTTTGATAACGGGCTTTGTCTGACCTAACAATGGTGGTGGGGCACAATGCCGCCGCTTTCAGAGCTCTCCGCACAGTGGCGTCTGGAGCGGCAGGAATGCTGCTAGTTTATTGTTCAACTGAAGGGCAGGTCCGATGGGGTACCAAAGGTCCCAGAGTTCCCCCAGGCCTTGGTGCCATCATTACCCCACAGCAACAACCACACCCTCAGTTCACCAGGAGAGATGCCATTAACAACCCCATGTACTGAAGTCAACATGGGTGTCATCTTCAAGTTTGGCTTAAGACAGAAAGAAGTTACAATCTCTCCTCCTGCTCACACACACACACAGAGCAATCCAAATCAAGGTAACCAGTTTCAGAAGTTTAACAATGTCCAGTTTATGTTAGCCTGATGTTACATATTAACCACCTTCACAGAATCCAATATCTGATCCAGGCCAGGGCACAACAAAAAGTAGTTTTGTCTGCTGGCCAGTTCTGGTTTTTACTTGCCTTGCCAGCATTTGTACTGGCCTGGCCATGAAAGAATGCTAAACAATGTATTCCAATACTTGCTAATATATACTGTTTAAAAGCTTAGGGGGTTGTAAGATTTTTAATGTTTTGAATTAAGTCTCAAACCCATCAAGGTTGTATTTATGAAAACAGTAGAAACAGTAAAAATGTGCAATATTATTACAATTTAAAATAACAGTTTTATATTATAATATATTTTTAAAAATAAAATATGCATTTTAATAATATATGTCATTGAGCGCATTTACATGCATGTTCTTAAGCCGATGCACTTGGTCATGTAAACGCGGTAACCCGTTATCTTTTATCAGAGTAAGGTCATAAACGGCGTAAGCATAAACCGGTCGCAACAGGTAGTTTTTTGCCTCTTACTCCGATTTCGCACGGCATGTAAACGCAATAACCTGCTTTCTGTCGGCTTATTGAAGTGCGCATGTGTGATACGTGACAGGAACGCATCGTTAGTGCAGATTTAAGCGCATCTTGACCGAGCAAACGTCTTGCAGTAAAGAAAGAAGGAAACGCATCACAAAAGCAGACTTTTTCATGACTCAGAAAATGATAAAAATGTGTTCTCATCTCGTGCAGCAGAAGTAGAAGTGGTTCAGTCACAATGCTGCGTTTATAACTGCATGAGAGGATAATATACGAGCTGTAAGTTGCAAGTTGACATGTTGCAAGCTTAATTTAACATCACAACTGACAAATGTATGGAATACTCGGAGTCAGATACGCAAATGATTATATTTTGACATCACTACAGGCAAAATAACCTGATTTATTAATGAAGTCATGTAAGCGCAGCTTACTTGCGTTGTCAGGTTACTGATGTGCATGTAAACGGGGAAAACTGGTTATTTTAATAAGCTGATATTTGTGAGTTATCAGCTTACTGGTGGTGCATGTAAACGTGCTCATTTATTCCTCTGATGCAAAGTCTTCACTGTCACATGATCTTTCAGAAATCATTTTAATTTGATGATTTGGTGCTTAAGAAATATTTCTCTATCATTAAAGCATAAAATAGTGCTGCTTTTTTGGGGGAAAACGTGATGCATTTTTTTCAGGATTCTTTTATGAACATCTCAATGTATTATATTATTATTAGTAGTAATATCTTACTGGTACTTTCAAGACTAACAACTATGTTAGAAAGCTAGATAGACTTCGAGTGAAGAAAGTAGTTCTCAAAGATAAAAAAAAATCTCTCCAACCTAAGACAAAATAGGAAGCCGACAAGTAGTTAGCCCTACTACTATGCACATACAAGCAAACAAAGATGACAATTTTTAGTATGAGCACATCCAGTTTGAGTCAGTGATGTGTTCTATATTAACCACCTTCATGTAATCAAAGAGATCCGATCCAGCCATCCTAAAAAGTGAACGGCAGCACAAGACCATCTGCGTCACTGCATGGACACCAAACTCCATGTGCGTCACCACACACACGGCTCACACATCATAAGCATGTCATAGTGCCATGCCACAGCAGACCACTGCTATAAGTGGGACAATGACCAAACAACTGCTGCCTCCCTTTCATTCCCGGCCTATTTTAGGAGCTGTTCTGCCAGCCTACGACAGTGGGTTTGCCTCTCACCCCGCGGGAGTCTCTTCTTTCACTAGTGGATGAACTTACGAAGGGTGGCACCAGCACGTACAGACGTCATTGGTCCAGTAGAACGGTGTTGGCACAGGGAGCTGATTAGTGTCATTAAGATCACCTTTGGTGCAGCAGGGTGCTCAGTTTCATCATGACGAAAGGAGAATCCACAAAGACGACAATTTGCTCATCAAGCGAGGGCCAGGGATGCTAAATAAGGTCACATAAGGCTACAGCAAATGTTGCATGTTCTGGAAGAAACACAAAGTGCTTAACAGACTTTTAAAAAGTCTGCACTCAAGGCTGATTTGGAGACATTTAAAAAGGCATCTAGAATAAGAGTCCCAACTACTTCTGTCCTTCTGGCCCTTACTTTACTGCTGTATTTATTTGTTTCTCTTTCTCCTCATCTTTCTAACCTATCTTCTCTTTCACCACATGATCCAGGTGGAGCATCTCATCATTACCAAGTGATTCTACAGAAGAAAGGTTAAAAGGTATACAATAAGACAATGTTAAAGTACAAGAGATATATAGTATTACAATAAAAGAATTTCTGCAGTAATTGTGGTTGGTTGTAATTGTGGTCATGAGAGTCAGGACCCCCACTGGGTGTAGTCTTCATCAAATCACCACTGTCTCAGGACAAAACAAACAGTAAATCTAAGGTGATAACTAAGGTGGGGTGGGGGAAATCAATTTCCATTGAATCAGTCAACAGTTTTTAAAATAAATATTGCATGTTTAAAAAGATTTCCTTCATGTGACAAGGCAGAACAAAATGTACAAAAATGAATGAAATCTAAACAATCAGAAATGTCTTTGAAGTATAATTAAGACTCTTTCAGCAAAGTCGCATTAAATTGACAGTAAAGACGTTCACATTGTTACAAAAAAATCTATTTTAAATAGTGTTATTTTGAACATTCTATTCATCAAAGAATTCTGAAAAGCTGAATCGGGTTATCTCAGCACCACAAAATTTGGGGAACTTCAACAACATTTCATATTTCTCTGCAACTTTTATAGTAGGAATATGGAATAGTAATATCTTAGTGTTTCCATTACCATAAAGTACCACGTTACAAACTTATCTATCCACCTTTTTCCTAACAAGCCTACTGTGTTTTTAAATTATGTGAGGCACTTACGGTTTAAGGAAGTTCTGCTCAAAAAGATTGCAACAAATCATTTCAAATCATAAGATTGTGCTACAAATAATCCTTATCTGTCTTTTTGACATACAATTTCATTCAATTTCTATTTTCCGTCAGGAGAATAACGTTACATTTGGAATATTACTGTGACATGATATAACCAACAATATATATAGTGGTGGCCAAAATTATTAGAACATTAGTATTTTCACCAGCTAAAAATATTTTAATTCAGTTATTTCTTTCTTTTGCTGTAGTGAGTCAAAAGGAAATATCAGTTAACATTTCCAAACATTCATTTTGCCATGAATTGTAATAATCCAGTGAGATTTTTTTCTGACAACAGCCAGTGCTCCACACAGAGATCTGATCTGATCATCATCCAGTCTGTCTGGAGAGACATGAAGAAACAGAACGAACCGAGACAGACTAAATCCAGAAGAACTGTGGCAACATCTCCAAGATGCTTCAAGAAACTTAACTGCAAAGCTCCAGTACTGTTAAAAGTTTTAGGCACTTGTGTAAAAATGCTGTAAGATGAGGATGCAGTCAAAAATAATGCCATAAATAGATTTCCTTTATCAATTAACTTCTATTAACTAAATTAAATCAACATTTGGTTTGACAATCGTTTGAGTTTAATGCACTTGTGCATAGTTTTTCAGGTAGCTTTGCAGTTAGGTCTCTTAAATTATTTTCATGTTGCTTTTGTATTGCGCTGTAAGTAAATGAAAAAAGACGACATATACTGTGCATTTGTGGCCTGCTCTCCCATTTTAATTTACGACAAACAATGAATAATTCCCTGGAATGCACTAAGAATCTTTAATTTTTCTCCCGAAATCCTCATGTATCTTTCCAGATTTGTTTTCACACAGATGCTGTGAAATGTAATTGTTATGAAATATAGACATATTACTATAATGATATTTAACACATCCGTAATATTTCTGCAGATAG